TTTAAAATTTTATTAAAAAAATTTAAAATTTAAAAAAATTTGCAGACAAATTTGGCTGCAAAACAATTTAAGGGATACTAAAAAAATGTGTGTATAATAATAACGTTTAAATTACTAATATAAATAATAAAAGTCCCAGTGTTACCAACAATCGAGGGTGCAGTCAGATGATTTTTCGACGCATCACATGATCAAAACGACGAATTCATTTTTAAAGTATTTTAAAGAAATTTTATGCTTAATACAGGAGTACATTTTTATAAAGCTTTGATATAAAAAAAGCCTTGATTTTTATAACATAAACAACATCAGACTCTTTATAATAACATTAGACTGCAAAATAAAGTTATCCATAGTATTGAGTATTTTCATTGCTATCCTTCCATGTTCGTGAAAGTGTATGCCTTTTTTCATGTTGCAAGATATCTTTGACTAATTTTTCAACCGTCATTAATTTGAATTCCATGTTTTCAAAAAATTTCAAGCGATTATGAAAAGCCTTGGATTTATTAAGAATACGTTGTGCCTATTTTAAAAATAAATTTATCTCAAATATTTTAAGACATAAATAAAAATTATAAAAACTTGTCTCGGTTAAAACTTAACATAGCAGTATATGCTTTTGTTCAATTTCATTCATAAGATTATTATTACTACTCGTTTCATAAATTTCTTGAGTTATATTTATAGTGGAAGATTCATTATTAACGTCATTATTATTAACCAGATAATCATTATCAGGTTTTTCAAGATTGCAAGCCGAATGTATTTCTTGCCAGGAGTTATGTAGAGATGTTGAAATTAATGGGTATCTTGAATTACGATGGACCTAAATTTTATAAACATGTTAAATAATTTTCAATTATATTATGGCTTGATAATAATAATATATAATACATTATAAAAAAATGTATTTGGCTTTGGGCCAATTAGAATCACCAAGTGCTTGCATAAAAAGAATCGATTAGCTGTAAAATAAGGACAGGAGCAAATCCAGTATTCATGATTTGTTAAATGGTTGTTAAAGCTACAAGGCTGTGATAATAACAAGTTTCATTCTTTTTGAAATTGCTTTCGCCATAAAGTAAGCTGGCGTCCATAGCATAGTAATTTAAATGTATCAACTTTTTAACTAATAGCCTAAATATTAATATAATAAATAGTTATACATACAAATTAATAAAGAGTATAATACATATATATATAAATATATATACTTTTTTAACAATTATAAAACATAAAAAGTCCAAATGAGGATGATTATATTTATAAAGATGATCTCCCTTCAAAAATCTCCAATGCGATTCAACTACCATGGTTGTGCACAAAATACCAATTTCTTCAAATGAAGATTGTACCCAAAGAATCCATTGATTTGGAGAATACCACTCACACCAAAGATAGCTCCATACTAATATTAAATCATTATTCCGACAATACTGATATATTTCAGTAACACACTCAAGCCAAATTATATGTTGATCGCTTACAAATGTTTTATCTTCTTTGGGAATTAGCATGTGACGATTAAAATGTTTTGTCATAAGGTTTTTTATATATATTCGAACCTCCTTATTAGCAAGTTGAAAACTTGTTTTTGATTTATTCATATTATCTTGAAACGTTTCACTAAACATTGATAAAGTTGGCTGCAATAAAGAGTCAATAACTGCACATTGCTTGTGTGCTTCAATTGCATTATACCGTATTACTTGAACTTTAGCTCGTGATGATAATTTTTGCTCTACCGCACGATTAACATGCCACAAACATAACTGCACCTTAAGATTAGTCCCTGTTACCCTTGTTGCATTTATTTGTGATTGATCTTTGTTAGTATAAAAAATTCACACATTTGTTAAATTCCGTGCCTTTAGTGCCATAAACTATTCTGTAATAATCTTAGTAATATTGCAATTTTTGCCTGATGAAATAAATAGATAAGAAATAGAGAATCCTGCTCTATCTACAATTGTCATTGCCCTATATAACTCATATTTATGTTTATTAGTGTTATATGTAGCATCTACCATGAGCTCCATTAATGCATTTAACGGTAATATATCAAAAAAGATAGTTAAGAAAGCAAAACTATAATTTTTAAAAAAAAGAATTTTTTGCTTTTGCTTTTGAAGAAAGATTTTCACAGAAACAAGTTCATCATCAGAATATCGATAATCTGCTTGTACCATGGACGACTACCAATAATATACTTGTTTAATTGTTAAAAGCTCATATCCATTTATATGATTGTCTTTAATTGACTGATAAATACTTGGTATGTCTTGTCCAATACAGAAACTTATGATTTTTAACATCTTTTGTTACATTAATTTTTTCTAACCATAGATATAAAGTCTTATGTTATATATTAACTATTACAATATCTTTTAGATAAATTTTAACTGTAATTATATCTTTGTATTTATAACGTTCAATATGTGTTTCAATTTTACATTGCTTTAAAACATCTTCAATCTTCTTTTGATGTCTGCATAGTTCATTTCGAGCATTATACCAGTATATTAACTTTGTAAATTTTGAATGTTTGCTATTATATATATTCTGATATATATATGTATATCTGTCTCTATTACTAATTGCATTAATTACTAAATCAGCAATATCAATATATGAATTATCTTGAAGCTGAAAATAGAACTGTCTTTTGAGATCATTATTCAGGTTTTTATATTCTAAAAGCGTATCATAAATATAATTTGCAACATTGTTAAAATTAATAATATTTTTCTTTTCATCAATTAAAGTATTAGTTTTTTGCTGCTTTCGCTTCTTAGCTTGTGAAGTATTAATACAGCAGGCCATGCAATGATTTAAAATATCATTTTCACCAACAATGAATTCTTCAAGTGGTCAAATACAATTACATCTAGTACAATATTGTAAAGAACTTGTGTTTTCTATTTTTTTATTATCATAAATCTTTATTATTAATAATGATAAAAAATAGTAAAATAGTAATAGAAATAAACAATAGTATTGTATATAAAATTCCTACCATTTTTATTACAAACAGAAGAAGGTATGGAAAATTATCATTTATCACAATATTTAAATAATTTAGGTATATTTAGTACAGAAGATTTAGAGAGAAAGTATTCTATAAAGCCTTTTCAAAAACCTCGTCCAGAACGAATATATTCATCAAGCCAGAATGCTAGAATAGATAGAATAGAATTAAAAGTAGATGAAATCAGTTAAATAACATCTCAATTTGGGAGAATAATGCTTGAAAATCAATTTAAAAAACCTGTAGCTAAATCAAAATTAACATATCAACACTTTTCTTCTCTAATATCTTTCCAATCCCAATATGCATTTCCTGATTCAGATGATAATAAGAATGGTGAAGGTGAATATAATAAAGAAAAAAATAGATGGCATACTTTATCTTAGTTAGAAAAAAACAGGTATTATTAGTAGATAATAATAATTCATATAATAATATGCTACCTAAAACTTATGATCAACTAATGAATTCTTTATCACTAGCAATGCAAAAAATATGTAGATCTAAAGAGGCATTGCTCTGCAATAAATCTAACCACTCCTATAAAGCTTAGGAAGAAATTAACGAGTGGTTCTTATCAATATAATATTTGCATTGCAATAAATCTAACCACTCCTATAAAGCTCAGAAAGAAATTAACAAGTGGTTCTTATCAATACAATATTTGCATAGCAATATAAATGATTTAATAATCTCTAATAGTTTTTTATTTTCAGGTAGCAAGTTTGGTACTGTTAATGATGCAACTATTGAAATACTTGAGTAAGAAAATGACAAACAATCTGATTTTGCTATAAAGAGTAACAATTCTAAACATATTACTAAATTATTGAGATAGATTATAGATATTCTAGTCTCTATAAAGGATAAGACAGGAAAAACAGTTACAGTTTTAGGGAATTTTGCATGTATTGATAATAGTGAATTAGAACCAATGCTATGTCTAGGTATGACATGGATTCAAAAGGTTCAAGGTATTCTTGACCCAAATAAAAATCAATTTTACATAAAGATATATAGAAAAACTTACAATATCCTAACATTTAGTAAGCCTTCGGAGTTAGTGAACCAGAGCAATGAATATCAGATATGCATGATAGTAAGGACTTAAAAAAAAATATGACTTACTTGAAAAGCAACTTATAAAGACTGAAGAATGGCTTGATATGGCTTTAAACACAGATAAAGTTCTTGCAAAAAGATGCTCTCAGCTTACTGAGACAAAAATAAGAAAATAGGATCTAATCTTTTAGTATCTTTTATTAATTTTTCAAAATTAGATTTTCTCTTAAATGTATTGTTTATAGAAGAGACTCTTTTTTTTACTGCATATAAGGAAGTAAACTTTGAAAAAGCTGAGCTTCAAGTCTTTGACTCATCTTTGGTTGTGTTAGCTCTATTGTTTTATTATTAATTTTATTTTTTTGACTAGCCTTTTTTAATAGATCCTTTGGGTTATTGCTCTGCAATAATGATATCAACCCTATATTAATTGGTTGTGATACTACTTCTCTAGGATCTATTGGCAGATAATTGTCACTCTATATTTGATATACACGCCTTGTTGATATTTTATATTTAATAGCCATAGCTTCTGATGCATATTTCATCAAATTTCTGGCATTAATAATATCTTGTATATTATCATCCGATAAAGAAGTTGTATCAGATCGCAGATATTGAACTATTTTTTTAGAGTTTTGAGTCATGATCTATTTATAAAAAATAAAATAGATATAAATTCAAAAGTTTTTCAATCTAGTTTCAATACATATCTAAACTGTTTGGTAAATATTTAATTTTGTTTCGATATATCTAGATCATTCAGTCAATATCTAATTTTATTTTGGTAAATATTTAATTAAATATATCGGTTAATATCTAATCCTTAGTCGATTTATTTTTTTATTGATATAATAGTGAAGCTAGTGTTAAAACACATATGTCTTGAATTCATACTTTATCAAATATAGGTGAAGATTAAAAACTTAGGAGTATACCATTTAATCAATATCTACCCAACTGAACAGAACTTGAAAACCAGCTTGTTTGTGTAAATTATAATTATAAAATTGCTATAGAATGTGGCAATCAACTTGCTTATAAATGCTCTATCTTGAATAAAAACAATAAGCATATGCAACAGGATTTAAATTGATTCAATAAAGATAAAGAGAAACTTGCTAAGCATACCTATCAGCTTATAGATGAATTTAAAAAATTTTTAGTCTAAAATAAAAATATTAGAAACAAAACTATCTTCAACTTAAAAAGAATTAAAGAAAATTACAGTACTTCAGTTTATAAAAAAAATATTAGAAGCTAAGTTAAAATCAGTTTAAAAGGATATATTTTTATCTTAGAAAGAGATAGTAAAAAAAAAATCTGAGATCATATTTCTCAAGTCTGAATTAACAAATATAAAGAATAAATTAACAAATACAAAGAATAAATTAACAAATACAAAGAATAAATTAGTCTCAAAAATTAATGAGATTACATGTTTAGGTGCTTTACACCCTGCTTTGCAGAAAACAAAGAATATATTGGATTCTGTAGTTATAGGAGGTGTAGAAAAAATATACAGAGTGAGGAACAAAGTTTCATATCGAATTCTGGAGATACATCTGAATCTAAAAGTTTTGCAAAATATTTTAAAAGTAAAAATCAAATGGAGGCAGAAATAAATAATACTTTTCTAACTAGCCAGGAGTTTTCAACAAATGAAATATCTAATGTAAAAAATGAAACATTACCAATTATCACAAATAAGCAGAACTTGAAGTCATTTATTTAAGATATTACAATAAAAAAAGCAGTATATGCTAGCAAGGCGTTAGTTAATAATAAGTATCAGATTCTTCTATTATTTTTTTATTTTTTTTTTTTTAGCGATCATGCTACATGTCCATGCTTTATTGATCATTAATTTAATCTGAAGAAAAAAGAATACATCTAAAGATACAGGTATATAACTTACCTGGTTATCTATATAGAATACCTAAATATTCATACATCTGTATGCGACTTGCTAAAGATAATTTTAATCTTCCCGGTTTGGTTCAACCTACATCAAGCCGACCCGCCCCGGTTCACTAACCTGGTTCATCAGCCCGTCATGACTGCCTTCTTTCCCAACCTTCTTCTCCTAGCCTCCTAGATTGAAAAATTTTACCAAAGAACAATGGGAAATTTACAAAATAAAAGGAATATTAAAAAAGAAGGAAAATCTAAACTAAACAAAAACAAAAAAACAAACAAAAGAAAAAAAAGAGAAAAGGAGAAAAAGGCCGAAAAAAGGATGGCCATGACGGCACTATTTTTGCCTATGCAAGGCTACAAAATTATATAATGTTGTATAAAATAAAATCTAATCTAACACTATATATAATAATAGAAGTAGAAAAGAAAATAAAAAAAAATGTCTAACATTAAGAAATTTTTACACATGATCCCTCCAATCCTCTATACTATAAACAGTACTGCTGTCATTGTTTATTTGGTAAAGCATAA